AGCAAAATCAAAGCTACTCTTTGGTCTTTTGGAACCTGAGGGGGTTGTGATCTTTAATGCTTTGACTCTTCACAAAATGTTTGAGAATATTAACATATGCTGTTTATAAATGTACCATAACATATACTGTTTATAAATCAAATAGGTGACTAACCCTCTCAAAACATCTTTTCATTGGTCATGTAATCCTTCATATTTATTTTTACAGCATCTCAAGGGGAAAATAATGTCTGCATTTCAATAAATCTAGATTTTACCCTTTCAAGTTGCAAGTTACATCTTGTCATCTTTATTAAAAAAACACTACAGCATTCTTTCTTAGAGTTAAACCCGTACAACCTTAAAGCTTGAGAGGAATTCAAGCAGGTGGTGGTGGTTTTTTTAATTTCCAGAGGTGTTTGTAGAGGCAAATGAGGACTGCAGTGAGCTCAGTTGCTGTTTTCTTGGAGTCAAAACAAGAGACACTTGCTGAAAGTGAAGTTTTATTGAAAACCATTTTTAAGCAGCAAGAAAGTTAAAAATTCAAATGCTTTATTTCAAATAGAAACAAACTAACTTACAACACAATGTATGAAGCAAATAAGTGATGGCAACATTGACACAAACATCTTTTAAATCAAATATTCAACAAAAATATATGTCAGCTTATAAGTACACAATCTGCATGTGGTAATATGTACAGCCAAGTGAAAAATATAAAAAGAAATACCGTTCTGCTTAAGAACATGATATAGTGAAGACTTTGGTAGAAAAAATGTCTTTATTTTTAAAAGTGTAGTCTTCAAAGATGCTTCCTTGAATCCAAAGACTAAAAATTAAACAGATCTATTCCATTACACTGCTGGAGGTTGCTGTCCACGGGTAGTTCACTGACTTGATCCAGTTGGAATCACACAGTGATAATCGGCTAACACAAGGGAAAAGGCAGAGTGGGAACAGTTGATTGTACACAGGAAGACCACCAAACCAATGCCTCTGGTTTCACTGGCACTCCCAAGCCTACTGCTCTTCTTGCTCGTTGCTGGTGTGAAGGCTGATCTTTTGGACTTCCAGCTCTTCTGCACTGACCATGGAGGGATCGATGGCTGCGTACCGGGTCCCGTGGAACTGCAGCAAATGGATCTGTTGGACATGGGAAATAACACAGAAACAGGTGTAGGAGCACAGTGTTTTGGTAAAATAGAAACATTCCTTCTGAATAACTTTTGTCAGGGTGAAACCATGGCTCTGGAGTACAAAAGATCAGAGACAGAAAACCCCCAAAGCTGGCCCAGCATGGACACAGCTGCTCCCAGCCCTGCCCTTTGGTATCAGCAGCACAGAGCACACAGGGAAGTTAAGAAACAAAAGCAAGCTCAACAGGAGTTTCCTTCTGCTGTTGTGGCTAAACACTTTAATTGATTGAATTCAGGAACTCACTTGAATGTACAGGTTGACCTCAGCACTCCTGCAGAGGTAGGGGAAGTTGCCTCCTGTTTTGAGGTGAGCTCTTCTGGCATTAGGGTAAAGCTTATACATTTCTTCTTTTGCTTCTGTTGAAAGCGCGCTTTGGTCGAACACCTATGGAACAAGCCCCAGCAATGAGTTCTGAGACCCTCAGATTTTGTTGCTACATCAGATTGGCTGCATGCTGCTCCTAGAAGAGACCCTCAGCTTCTTTGTGGAATGGTGAATGAAACAGAAAACAAGCAAACCTGGGCACTGACAGCTAGAAAGCCAATACTGTAATACTGAAACATATGGCACAGAACATCTAATTCATAACTTAGCACAGAAAAGTCACAGTGTTGCCCAGTCAGCAGAAGGCTTCCCTAAATA